CTACTACTACCACTACTGCTTCTTCTTCTGTTGCTGGTGCTGCTACTGCAGTTGACTGCTAGCAGCGATGCTGCTACTAGCCGCTACTTATACTTGTACCGTGACTAGTATTGCATTCACCACCACGACATCAAAACACTGCCAGTGTACATTTCTGCAGGCACGTGTCGTGAAGATGAGCGGCGATGTCGCGGAGATCGTTACCGAGGGTGACTACAGGCCCTGGAAACCTTTGATTGCCGAAGTTGGTTGATGGCGGCGACAAGCGCCATAACTCTGCATGCTTTTCGGGGAATCCTTTCACGGAGTTGATTTTGTTTACATCTCCCACTTGAGGACGCGCGTGATTTAGCTTTGGGACAGCTTCAATTAAATGCAGCACCCTGTTTACAAGCTGAGGGCTCCCACCAGACGGCTAGACACGCCCCGATCAAGTATTCTTGATACGCGTAGGACGCGTAGGATGGGATTTCAGCATGCATCGGAGCCTCTGGAGGTGGCGGGGGAGAATCGAAACTGCAACTGCGCTTTTTTAGGTTCCCTCCCGCTCCAGAGAATAGAAAGCAGCTTCACATTGAAAGGCACGCTCCAACACGTCACCGAGGCGTGAAATAGCCCGAGAAACTTCACGGTAAAGCGGGTGTCCCAATCAAGGTGGGTGTGTCAGAGTCGGTTCACCGTCACGAGATGCAACCGGCATGACTGGAACCGGAAGATCAGACCGTAGGTTTGAGTTTGCTACCCAGATCGCTCTAGGCACTGCTGCTATGTAAATGAGGGGACTAAACCAAACTGCGCAGGGTTCCGTCTCCCGTAACCAGACTTACTTGGAAATCATGCAGACATAGACAGACGGAATCGCTTGGAATGTACAGTAAAGCTCCAACACCGAGCGACAGTTCATGAACTGTTGGAAGATGCGAGTAGCTTCGCAAACCTCTCCCTGCGGCCCTACCACGCCACGCATCTCCAAGATTTGCAGAAGTCCTACCCGCCATGAGTCCAAATCGCGTCAAACAAAAGGTCCTGACCCTTGAAACGGAACTCAAACCCGCAAGCTCGAAGCGTTTAAAGATAGCAGCCTAGAGCCTCATTTGTCCCGGAAGACGAGGTCGATGGATGTGGACGTTGGCGACCTCAAGGAATCCGCGAGGGCAGAAGAACGAGAGGTGAGATGCAAGGCTTGCACGTACCTAGATAGGTAGGTATGTATGTTTGATTATGCATGTGTTCACGTGCGTGTGTATGAGCGATGTAGGTTTGGTTGTCTGCATGGCTGTCTGTATGCATATAAATATCTACAGAAACAGTACTTAAACATAGATAGTTGTAGGTGTGCACATATGTGTATATATATATATACACACGGACATATCTGTGTATATATATATATACATATGTATATATATATATATATATTGTGTGTGTGTGTGTTTGTTTGTTTCTGTGTGTGTGTAGGCTTTGGTAGATGTACATGCATGAATGTCTGCCTGCTTGTGTTTTTTGTTGCTTATCGCATACTTTACGTTTGCCGCTACTTCTACAATGCTTCACTTTAGCTTCTGAAAGTGTCCAGTGTCTTATTGCAATGCTGCATGTAAGCGTCTACCTGCTTCTGTACTATGTATGAAGATGCATCCCTGTCTCGTTCTCTTCATCCTTGTAGCACCGTCGTTGCTGGCCCCGAGGTCCAGTTGCTGGGTGTTTTTAACTCAGAGTTTGGAAGTTTGGGACAAGCATTTAAAGGACCTCGTCTTTAAGACTATCTGCGAAAGTAGACTGTAGTTGCTAATGCCCGTTCTTGCTGAAGTGAGCTCTCGGGAAGCTTTCTTGGGTCGCCTAGGTGGGACAAGCAGTCGGCTCAGCCTCGGAATCCTGAACCCTTGCGCCCTGAAGTTCAGCTGGACAGCTCCACGAAACAGGAGATTGAGGAAACACAGTTTGGGATTCCTGTGCCAAGCCAGTGCCTCAAAAGGCTTATACAGGGGTTGGGTTCTTTCAGATTGGTGCTTCGGCCTTTGCGCTTGGGGTTCGTAGCAGTGGCCGTGTCGCAACTCCGGCGGGAATCGGATGTGGCTCTTGATGTTTCTCTCAACTCCGAGTCCGTCGCATCGCTCTAAAAATGCCAACTTGCCAACTCTTGACACCGTTGCATTCGGGCAGAGGGTGAAGCCCGAGACTAGATGGCCTGGCTCCGAAGACCTTGCCGGGATTACCACGCAGAGGGTGTGGAGACGTGAGCACTGCCATCTCCCTCATGTTTGTTAACGTGTTCCCGAGGCAACATAGCCTCCGGAATCAGAGGGTTCCAACAGTCCCAGGAAAGATGGACCAGTCAGCGCCCACCGACTTCGGCTTCCTCATGGAACGCGTCTCCCAGGTGGCTAGCACAGTCAGCTTCAGGTGTACAGAAACAGCTCACAGCTTGCTTCGATCCAACTCACAGCATCTGTGTTAGTTCCGAAGATAAAGCTTCAAGCAGAATCCCGGCTGCCCTTACGGGAGCCCAACCAGACCCGCACTCAGATCATGTTCGGCTTGATTTACTTGAGGCTGATTGTTGCAATCCGCAAAAGCAGGGAGAACAAAGTTTTCATTCTTGACACCTGTCAACCTTGGGATGTATGGCCTGTTCTCCGTGTTTGCAGTGGCATGACAAGCGCCATAATCAGATGAACCTGCCCTCTGAAAACAGCATGATTCATGTTTGAGCCTTTCCAAGCCAAGCTGTGCCGAGCTCCAGTAGTAGGCAGAAGCCTGAACTCCGGACCGAATGATCTAAAGCTGGGAAACCGTCCAGTCCTGGTGTATGAGCTTGACACCATCACATCATAATACTTGTTGCGTTGCGACAATCGCGATAGTTGTCCGGTTGTGGCTGATGACTGATTACACGTGTTCTGAGATAGAGTCAGGCATTAAGGTTCAGGCTTACTAAAGGCATGCCAGGAAGCAGCATGCAGGTGCAGGGTTCTCATGGTGCCTCCCTCTGTATGGAGTCCTGTCAGTCGTAATGCACCTTGTCTTGATGTTCCCAGCTGTTGTCAGTGGTGGTGGTGCTGCTGCTGCTGCCCTTGTTGTTGCTGGTGTCATTGCGAGCATGACAGCCGCCGCATCTCTCATCTGCGCAGCCGCACATATTCGAAAAATGCTCGCTCCATGGAAGGAGACGCCGAAAAAGAAGTAGCCGATCAGAAGCGCATGGAGGCAGCCCGACACTGAGCATGTTGGTATCTTATGTATATAAAGGTTTAAGTTGCATACACTAGTAATTATCACACCTATCTACTTACCTACGTACGTACATGTATGCTGTATGCATGCAAGCATGCATGCGGGCATGGTTGTTAGACATGCACACTTCCAGAGATGCATAGAGACAACGGGCATATGTATGTACATGGTGTGTATATGAACATACTCGGTAGGAACATCCACACCCGAAGCTTGTTGAAATTGCATGTGTTGATACGACTACAGGAGCAAAAAGTCTTGCATATGTGTGTGTTGCAGAGTCGGGCCCAAGTTGTCTCCCCTTAAGGCCGGGGTTACATGGGTTACAGGCTCAACACCAGCGAGAGGCTGTGACATGTTCCACTCTCCCCAAACTGTGTGCTTTTGCTTCGGCTCAAGACCCGAAGTGCCTCGGCGGATACGGACGCTCTGCACAGACCGCCGAGACACACCCCGAAAGCGGGCGTGCCTTTCGGAGGCTTCCTTGAATGAAAACCGAAATTAAGTTTGGTTGTTGATGCTTCATGCCTTGAGGTATCAGGGCTCCTTGTTCATTCATGCAGGTTTGGGTTTCCGGTCAGCTTCACGAAGCAGGGCTGCAGAAATTGAGTGGTGACGGCCGTTCCAGGATCTTTAGCGAAGACCGTCGCGACGCGTGCGACGCGCCGGCTTTCCTTAGGCCTTAGGCGGAGGATCACTTGCGCTGCTCCGAGGGTCCGAGCGCCATGGCCCGGCTTGGTCCCCGCGCCTCTTTCCAGACTGCGAGCTCACTGGGCTCCGAGGTGGACTCGCAGGCGTGCGGCCTTTGGGAAAAGCTTTCGGTTGAGGGCTGCATCTAGGGTTTGCAGCCGAAGGATCTTGCCTTGGGGTCTCTGAAGCTCGTCGAAACCGCCCTGGTGCGTCCCGAAGAAAGGGCAATTGCAGTCTCCAAAGTCCTCGAACACATTTCGCCAAATCCTGAAGCCCTAAATTACGAAAGCCCTCATCCTGACCCGAACTATAGAGAAACTGACTGTAGTGAGAGCGTAAAGCCCTCATCCGTGAAAGCCCTGAGCCTTAGGACCCTGAACACTACCTTTATCCCAATCCAGCAGCCCAAACACTGCCCCAAACCTAGCGCCTTGGTTTCGGAGCACGTTGGTCCGAAATCCCCCCTTTTTCTCCCCCCAAATAAGAGGTCGAGTTCATCTCTTTGGCACTGGAACGACCTACTAGCCCATCCTCGGGCACGCGCCTGGGGCCTGCTTGGATTTTGCTATGTGGGTGTGGCACTTCTACCTTTGAAACCTTGGGGTCTCGGGAGTTGGGGGTCTGTTATTGGGGGGTAGATACCTTCAGGGACTGAGGATGTATGGACGTGTGTCTCAAGCCATGGGCACGAGGTGCATTTCTGGGTGAAGTTGGCTGGTACTAGACATGCACGCTTCTCTCCTGTTATCTGGGTCATCTTCACATTCTCTCAGTAGAAAAAGATGGAAGAGAATCCCGAAAAAAATATTCCGGTAACCTTTCCGAACCCAAAGGCGCAGCTGAAACCACAGCCCACTCCCGAGCCTCGAAGCCGACCAAGGGCATTGAGCACGCACTGCGAAACGCAAGTCTGCAACGTGCAGCTGCTGGATGAGGAAGATCTCTACTTCCGTGTCAATCTGAGAGATGCGGAGTCGCTTGGAGAGAGCGTTTAAAGTGTGGGGTTTCGAGAGGCCTCATGTTGTAGGATGTCCGGAGCGAGAAAAACTTTCAAGCCTGAGGGCGAGCTGTAGGCCTTGACCTTTAGTTACTGGTAGCAGGTGGAGTCGCTGCAGGCCGGATGCAAAAGGATCTTGTATGATACCACCTTTCATGGCATGGGCTCTCTGAAAGTTGGAAAGTCTTCCCGTGATCCTCGTTCGTACTGCCCTTCCGCTGTTCGTTTCCTTGCTATAGGAACCTTGCTCCAGAGCTACATGCGGAAGTCTCGATAAATTGTTGCGACATGAGGATGAGGCCCGTTCCCATGTTGGTCACGAGATCTACAGAGACGCAGACTGACTACTTGGACGCGGGGACCCGGACCGAAGCGACCCAGTGTCTCGCAAAAAGTACTTGGCATCTTTGCAGAGTTTGTAAGCGGCCTGAGGGTTGCTAGCAAATGTGCCCCGAATCAGACGGTGCGCCTTCTCTTGTAGCATTGCTGGAAGTAGAGTGCGAAGTGGCCAGTCTCACAGCACTGTCATGTGGGTCAAGCTGGGCAGTAAGAGCAGCAGTCGAGTCCCTTGTGAAAAAAGAAGTTTCGAAAGTTGAAGTGAGTTGAGCCAGTAAAGCCTCCAGCAGATGAGCTGCACGCTCGACAACCTGAAGAAACTGAGGACGGAACTGGAGGCGTGGAGCCCTCTTACGGAGCAGGTCACCCCAGCTACGGCCGACCCATATGGCAGTGCAGAGTCAGGAGACGCAGCCGCCGGATGTGACGCCTTCCCGGATGAGGCCGAGGAGATCTTCGCAAAGCTGGACGCAGAGGGAGGCGAGGAGACAGAAGGATGGAATGGAAGTCTCGGGGGCGATGGCATTGGAGCTGATGAGGCTGACGAGGCGATAGTAAGACAAAATGTGGAGGCCGATGATGGCCCATCTCCTGACGACGTTCTGGTGCAGACATCGCTTGTGACCCACATGGAGGAGAACTGTACATAATCTAGCTTACGGAACCACGATCTAGCATATCATCTTTGCGAGAGAGTCGTGGGTTGTACTGCTTATGCTTTGAATGTGCATACTACTAAATACGTCATCATGATTGCTACATGCTTTTAAAAAGAGAGCTCACGGGAGGAAGGGAGGGAGGGAGAGAGAGAGAGAGAGACTATTGTAAAGTCGTCCTTGATTCTACTCTGGTTCTGTTGGGGGATCGCATTCCTGGCTGATCGTATAGCCGAGCGATCAAGGGAGAGACCCTCGAGGAAACCTTTCTGCCAGAGAACCGCGGGTGCGCAGTGCGCGTTCGTGCGCGAGGGGGGTAGCCTGGACGCTGCTACCTTCCTTTGCCCCTGTAGAGAGAGAGAGAGAGAGAGAGAGAGAGAGAGAGAGAGAGAGCAGTGAGGGCAGTGAGGGCGGCAAAGGCTTCCCGAGAGTTGCGCATGCTTTTCAATCAAGGGGCAACTTGCACCCTAATGGTGACGTACTGCAGAGCCATACAATGCTATATTGCAAGGGCCTTGTGGCCACCAACTCGTGTAAGAAATTCCGGGTGGTACACTGTACATGGGGGATTTTCGAACAGGCAAACTGTGTCAAGGTGTGAACTTCTTTAAATGGGCCCCATGGCCCTTCGCAGGCAAACCCACTCAATCTGGGCTGGACACAAGCCCCAAATCCCAGGTTCTTTTCAGCTCACCCTTTTCGAAGGTTGGCATGAATTCGGGGGGAGGAGGCCTTAATTCGTTTCCGTTCCAACTTGTGGCAATCCAATGTCTGCCCGAGCTCGCGCGAAGTCGTGGGGAATGCGCGTTTTTCCTCCTTCCTCCCAAGCAGGCTGGCAAGACTGGGGGGAATAGTTGCACTTGGCTGTTTGCCTGTTTGATGTCTCTTGACGAGGGAGGACGTGACTGCCAGCCACCTCCCCTTTCATACCGTAAGGGAGAAGCGAGTCGGCCGTGTACAGTCTGGGGGTACAGCCGAGCCGTCTGGGGGAAACCCCCACAGTGGAGTCCCTCAAAACTCTGTGAACCGCAGGTGCGCGCGAGGGGGTAGGGTGGACCTCCTGCCCTCTCTGTCCTAGTAGAAGGAGAGAAGGCCTGGGTTTTTTTTGGCCCCTGTGGGTTTTTCTGTGCCCTCACCCCGTCCTAAAACCTCGGCCGAGACAGAGACAGAGAACAAACAATAAAATAAAGTTTCGCAGCTTCTGCCGGGGGAATCCCACGCTGGGTCTTGTTGAAGTTAGGTATGCCAAGTAGTCTAGGTGCGTGGAGGGAACCCGGTCTGCACTTCTCACGCCCCTTCAAGGTGCCCCGAAACCTGGGGGCCCTTTGAGGCCAGGGGGTTTCGCACGCCCCCTAAGCCCTGTGGAAGAAGGAGGGCGAGAAAGAGAGAACGCTGGCTCACCTTTACCTAGAGGTAGGTTTGTTCCCAACGTCTTGTCTAGTGCTGAGTTCCTACAGGCCCTAAGTACCGCGCAAACACCCCCTCGAGCTCCACGTTTCACGAAAAGTGCCGCTCAGAGTCCCAGAAGGTGAAATTTTCGAACGAAGCCTATTGTGTGCACGGTTGCTAGGGGGCTGAAGCGTTACTTCTTTGTTTGCTTGCTGTCTTTTAATACAGTGCAAGGCTTCGACACCTATGCATGGGGGCTCTACAGTGTTTCCACAAAACTGCAAGCCCTGAACGGTTCGCCACAGGGGCGCGGGGAAGAGGCCGGGAGGCGGGTTGCGGGTCGTCGTCTTCGGGGTCGGGGACTTACAGCTGGAAACATGGGGCACACAACGTAGCATAGTACAGCGGCCAATGGGGCCCCAAAGCCATCCACTTACTAACACAGGGGGTGGGTGGGCGGGCCAAAGGCCTGAAGGTCGAGAGATCGACCCCTACGCCCTGCAGAAAGAAAGAAAGCGAGCCTGCAAAATTCCACTATACTAGAGGTCAGTCACTTTCCCCACGGACGCTCACAATCTCACGTTTCTTTGTGCAACCAAGGAGTCGTCCAGTCTTGAGCCAATGCCA